TGGCGGGGGCGCGCATGGGTTGGAGTGGGGGCTGACGGGGACCTGGATGGGGGCTGGCGAGGGCGCGCGTGGCCTGCAGGTGGGCGCACGGGCGCGCGGGGCTGCCTTTTCCCTTTGGTCTCCCTCGGGAGACAGGCTTGCTCCAAGCACTTTGGATTTCGCGTTCCCGCGCCCGGAGCGCCTTCTAAGAGGTGCGGGCTGCGTCCTCGCCCCGCCCAGGCGCTTCTGCTGGGGGTAAGGTGGGCAGGCGGACAGGTGGGGCCAGGAGACCCCACAATGCTTAGGGTTACAGCCGTGGGGTTTTAGGTCCGAAGCCACCGTCGGACGCCCAGGACCTCGCCCCGTTGAGGGACAGGTTGAGGCCTGCACGGAGCTGCCAGTCAGGGGAGTGACTGTCACGCTGGTCTCTGACCCTCCCCAGCACTCTGCCAGGTCTTTGTGCCTTAAGCACCACGTGCATCTCAGACGACTCTGTTCACATTTCTCTGGGCATTTTATGTTGAAAATGTCAAAATATAAATGTCTCTCTCCAACTCGCTTCCTCCAAAGTCTAGGCCGGGAGCCTTTCTCTGCTCCCCACCCCCCTGCTTTCTTTGGTGTTAACTCACTTTGACAGACTGTTGCTATAGCATTCCCTCTCTGACGTCAAACAATTTAAAGAAACAGGATTGCAGAGGAGTTTGTGGCGCGCCTGTGGTGGAGAAAGGTTTGGAGAGGAGCAGAGCCCGTGCCACCCCTGCAGCCTTCCATTCCCCTAATGGAGCAGGAATAAATCTATTCCTCCCTTACAGGAGAGGAGGCCTGGACACCCTCATTGCAGCTGTGGAGAAAATGCCACCGCTAGTATAGAGGCCGCTCCATCACCCATGTGAGAACAACGGGGAGGGGGGGGGGGGGGGTGCCGGGATGACTAAACGGGCGGTTTCCCCCCAGATTTTTGTATTCTCTAATGTTGAGCGCTGTTCTCCATTAAGAAAATGGAGACATGGCAGGCTTCCTATAATGCCATCGCTGATAATGTGCTTGTCCAATGATGAGTCTGGTTTGATGGTTGTCTTGAGGAGGAAGCTAAAGGAACTTGATGTTTACTGAGTGCCTGTATGTTCCCGCCCTGGGTACTCCAGCCGGCCTCTATTATTTATCCCTGTTCCACAGGTAAGCAAACTGAGGCCGGCTAAGGTTCACTAGCTCACCTGGAGTCACACAGGACATGACTAACCCCAGTCCAAAACCTGTTTTCTTTATTGTGATTTTTTTTTCTTTTTCTTTTGTGCCGGCTCCTCTCAGATATTATAGGACGTTGAGAAGTGTGTAGTTTTCAACTGTATGTTGAAAGATAGGTATTGGGGGGGCCGTAGTGGAAAGCACTGAGATGTTCTATTCTAGAAAAGATCAGGGGACTACAGAAACGAAGAGGTCCAAAACACAAGTGCAAAGCGGGGACCAGAGAAATGTCCCTGCTCTTTGATGGTCTGTGAATAAACGATGACATCAACTTTCCTGAAAATTTGATGTGAACAGAAAAACATGCAGAATCGTTAAAAATGTATACCACCCAAGCAAATCCATTTCTTAGAATGTTTCTACTTTGCCATGCCTTTTGCTTAATTTTTCTGAAAAGAACACTTAGCTGTTAAGGCCTCGCCTGTACATCAGAAGAGTAGCTGATGAGACTCTTACCAGGAACAGCCTCCTAAGGACACAGCTTGTGTGCAAGCACGTATGCAACTCAGTGTTTGCAATGATAATGTAACCCACGGGGTCTGGGGGCTGGGGGAGCACTGTTGTTGCTACTGACTGTGGAGACAATTGTAATAAGTCAGCTTTTTCTCAGGACTGAGCCCAGTGCTCTTTTGGGGGTACCATGACAGATTTAGATTATGGACTCAGTGCACCAGGCCCATGTTCTCAGCACGTTGTACTAACAGAACACAGGGCACTGTTGGGAGAATTGGGGACAAAAATGTGTGGTTTTCATCCTTCTCCTTATTAGGAGAGCCGCATTTACTAGGAGCTCAGTGAGAAAGAAATCAATGAATCATGACAGTTCTGCTCTTCAGAACCCCCAGACTTCTGCTTGGAGAAAAGGAGCTGCTTTTCTAGGAACTGAGTGAGAGTTACTTAAGCAGGGTGTCTGGTCCCCACTGGCCAAGCTCAGAGACTCTGTGCTTGGTGCTTTCAGTGGGTGACTCTGAATCTTGTTCTCAGTGAGTGACCCTCACACCCACGGTGCTGTGGGCTTGTAACCTCTGTCTTAAAAATCATACTCTATAAATGCTCAGCTTTTTTCTACCTTGCTAAGTGAGCTATGAAGTACAGAACCATCCAAGTGGGTGATTTCAGTACTGCCCTCTCAGGGTTGTATTGCATTTGAATTTTGAGACCAAATGATGTATAGAGACATTGTTACTAAAGGAACATATTTTCTTTCAACTGCAACAAATTAAGTTCAGAAAAGTGAAATAGAAATTGTTTAATAGGGCTGGAGAGATGACTGTCTTTCCTTTCCACTGACTGCTTTTCCAGAGGACCAGGCTTGGTTCCCGGCACCCACATGGCAGCTTACAACTGTCCATAACTCCAGTTCCAGGGGATTTGATACCCTCTTCTGGCCTCTGTGGGCATTGCATAATATGGGCGCACTTATATGCATGTAGGCAAAACACTCACACACATAAAATAAAAATGAATTTTAAACATTTTAAAAAAGAAGTGTGCTTTTGTGGCATTTTAACCAGGCATATCTGATACAGAGAAGTCATACCGGAACTGTCCCTGTCGCTCACCCAGATTGCATTTCTGTACCAAACCTCTTTACAGCGTGTAGCTTGGGCTCACTTTTGCAGTACAACTCTCCACCCAGGACTGTGCTATAAATCAGTTATAACTCCTGGATCTTTTCAACCAGGCTCTCCTGACAGTTTGGAATCTATCTCTCCCAGGCATCTCAGAGAACTTAAGAGAATGCTACACTTGACTGATGATGTGTCACAGGCACCTCTCGCCCCCCAACCCCACCTCTGGCACCTTCTAGTTCTTGGAATCTTATTGGGAAGGAACATGGCACAGAGGAAAGACCCCAAACTGCGTGTCATGTCAAAGACCTGGCGTGGGGCTCAGGTTGTGGTGCTGAACATCTGTTGACCCCCGTACAGATCATGAGCTGCTGTCTACCCTATCCAATAAGGAAAGGTGGCCAAATTCAAACACAGTTGGCAAACAGCACTGGTGCTGTTGGTCAGGAAAATACTAATTACCTCTTCCTAGTCTAAGAAGACTTCTAAATAGCACATTTTGGAAAGGCACTCTGACCTGTTTGTACCGGTAAGTAAGTAAAAACATCTAGTCAGTTCTCTCTTGCTCCATTTAAGCCACTTAAAACAGTGTGTTAGAACAAGGTGTGTGTGTAGGGGGGGGGCTTGCACATGGTGTACTAGGCGCAGCAACAGTTATCTGTTTTACTGTGAGCATATTCGTTCAGGGCTTGGTGTCCTTTGCTTTTGCACTGTCAGCTACACTGACTGTGTCCACTGTGAGTCTCTCATGGGTCTTGCAAATCAGGACTACCTGTTGGCAGGGCGATCAGCTAGGTACAGGGGCAGAGAACCCACTTCCTCCCCTCACAGGCCTTTCCACTAACTCCTGTGAATTCCTCACACCACTGTGGCTAAGTTCTAAGAGCACGTATTCAGAGCAAGGAGGAAGCGACAGCATCTTTATGACAGACTCACCCTGTGCAGCTGTGATTCCCCACACGCAGTGACAGCTACACAGACTTCTTACCGAGCGACAGGTCTTGGGAGAGCAGGGAAGCCGGCATGTATCATTACAGCTATCTTCAGAAATGCTCTCAGTGCTCTGGAGGCTGAGGCAGAAGGACTATAAGTTGAGGTCAGGCTGGGCTACCTAGTGAAACCCTGTTTCAAAGAACTACCAAAGCCCCCCATCAGCAACAAAAGTGCAAGCTGCCGGAAGCCACTCACCAACTCGATTAATCGAACAGTCTCCTTCCATTCACAGGGGGTACACTTTATCTAGAGAGTGTTCTGTCAGATATTTCAAACAATAGGACACATCTCCTTTTCCTTCCTTATTTGGTGTTCTGAGTGCTGGGATTACAGCCATGAACCACCATGCATTTTCAGCTATGAATGTGAAATTTTTTTTTTGATAGGGTCTCACTATGTAACCCTGGCTGGCCTGGAACTTACTTTGTAGACCAGTCTAACCTTGAACACAGAGATCCACTCACTTCTGCCTCCCAAGTGCTGAATTAAAGATGTACGCCACTATCCCTGGCTCATGTGACTTTTTGATTGCTTCTCATATATACATTTTTTTTGAGACAGGGTCTCCCTGTATCCCTGGCTCGCCTGGAGCTCGTGGTGTAGACCAGGCTGGCCTCAATCTCACAAGCATCCACCTGCTTCTGCTTCCCAAGTGCTGGGATTAAAGGTGTATACCACCAGGCTCAGCTTGCTTCTTTAATTTGTGGTTTTAAAATTATACTGTAACAGTGGCTGTTTCTTTTGGTGTATAGCACTGTGATTTTAAATCATGCATAGGTTCAGGGGACTGGCACGGCAACTGTGATGATGTGGTT